GGTACATCATGGTCAAATTGCTCAAAACCAGTGATAAAGAAAAATGTTAAAAGCTACAAATATTAAAACAAAATAACTCTATACAGAGGTAGAAACATAAGAATTATAACAGATTTCTTGTCAGAAATTAAGTGAGGAGACAGTGGAGCAACCTGTTTAAATACAGAAGAAGAAACTTGTCATTGAAAATATTTCTCAAAATAATGGTTAATTAGAGATGTTTTGAATATACAAAAGCTGAAAGAAATTATCAATAGGTAATTTTCACAGATGTGACAAATAAAAATCAAAAACCAAAATGATAGACTCAAATTTCAGCACACAAAATCACATTAAATGCAAATGGTCTAAATGTACTATTTATAGGGAGATTTGCAAAATGAATAAGAAAACAAGACACAACTATGTGCTGACTACAAGAAAAACAGTTCAAATATAAGGACACATATACGTTGAAAGTAAAAGATGGGGAAAAGTTGAATTGACTATATTAGCATCAAAGTGGATTTCAGAGCAAAAAAAAAAAAGGTACCAGAGAGAAAGACCATTCCACAAAGGGGTCATTTTATTGAGAGATACAATAATCTTAAATATTTATATACCTAATAACAGAACTTCTAAATATATAATGCAAAACTTGATAGAAGTACAAGGAAAAAATGGACAAATCCACAATTACAGTTGGGAATTTAAAGCCCACCCTTTCAGTAATTGATAGGGAAGAAAGGAATAGAAAATCAGGAAGAATATAGATATTTTTAAAATGTTATTATCCAACTGGACCTAATTGAGATTTATAGAACATGCCACCCTACAACAGTAGTGCTGAGTTTTATAAGTTCTTTATAAATTTTGTAAAGGCTAAAATCTTAAAAACTAACCCATCATGGCTCATTTCTGTTACCTTTGTGACTTTCTAAATAAACTTTTGTTTAGGAAAAAAAGCTAACTCACCATAACAAGTTTTAGTGAGAATGTGAAGCAACTGGACACTCCTGCATTGCAGATAAGAATTTAAAATGTTGCAAACACTTTGAAAAACAGTTTATCCATTTTTAAAAATAAATACACACCATATGATCCAGCCATTCCTCTCCTCGATATTTACTCAAAATAAATAAAAGCATATGTCCATACAAAGACTTGTACATTCATGACAGCTTTGTTTATAAAAGTCAAAAACTGGAAACAGCCCAAATATCCATCAACAGGTGAAAGGATATGTAATTGGAATACTAGTCAACAATAAAGTGATGCATTATTTTGGATGACTCTCAAAATAATGATGCTGAGTGAAATACACTGGAGAAAAAAAAGAGTACATTTGGTTCCAATTATATAAAATTCTAGTAAATGCAAACTTATGTGTAGTGATAGAAAACAGGTTGTTTGGGGGTGTGAGAAGCAGTGATGCAGGGAAGTACCGCAAAGGTCATGAGGAAACTTTAAAAATGATGTACATGTTCATTATCTTGACTGTGATGATGGTTGCAGAGGTGTACATATGTGTCAAAGCTTGTTAGAGCATGCACTTTATGTCTGTTAATTATACTTCAATAAAGCTCTTTTAGATAACACTGCTTAAATCCATGAGAGGATCTGTATGGAATAGTGAATAAATGCTACATTTTAAAAAGTGTATGTCAATCTCAAAATAATTATAATAGGGAATAAGATCAAATTGTTGCCTTTAAGGAGTTGACAGGTTGTTTTTTGGGGGGCCATTAAGGCTGATTTTATCGAAGAATTGGGGAAATTGAGTTTTATAGGAACACCAATCCTTAGGCTAATAAGATCCTGTTTTAAAAAAAACAAAGGAAAGGTTGTTTATGGCTGAAAGAAATAGTCATATATTTATGATAAGAGTTGACGTTTCAACCATGCCTTGAAAAAATATACATGATTTCAGTAGAGGAAGATGAGAAACAAATTCTAGCTAGAATGAAGAGGAGAACAAAGGCAGAGTTGAAAGATCATAGGACATGTTTTGGGGAAGAGCAATCATGTAGTTCAAGCAATTCTGTTTCCTCTTTGACTGCCACAAGCAGGACTAACCAATCTTGATTATGCATTCTCTGGTAATTTACTCCATACCTGTCTCATTTTATTGCATTATATGTGTCTCTGGCTTTATCCTTGGGGGCACTTTCCTGTTAGAAAGAACATTTGGCTCATTCTAAATGTTTAATAGTAAGTGCTATGCACCTTTAAAATATAGGAAAGTCTGGGGGTCAGTTATAATCAGAGTAGGCAGGTGGAATTTGTACTGATCCTATAAAAACATAGTAGGTTTTAGATGAGAGATGGAAAGTTGAGAGAAGGTTATTCCATAGACAGAGGATAGTAAAGCATGTGGGGGTTGGGGAAGTATCTGTTAAGGAGTACTGAGAATTGAGGTTTATAGGAAAAAGTTTTTATTAATGGTAATTATTTAGCCCAGCCAAGCAGAGGCACATGCATTATATTTAAAGTGGAAGAAAAACAAAACAAAACAAAGCAGGCATTTCCTCTAGTTCCTGCTGTGACTATTAAGTAGAGCTATAATCAACCAGAAGAAGAAGTTTCTTGCTGTTTTATTTTATTTTGTTTTGTTTTGTTTTGTTTTATTTCATTTCATTTATTTTTGAAACAAAGAATTTTCTAGGTTATTTACAAAGTATATCTGATATTCTGTTTTGGGAAATATATTTATTTTCTTTATTTTCTTTTTAGTGAAATATATGTATGTTATGTCAGTATGGAATGAATAATAAGATCGCCTTTATTATTGGCATTATATTCTATTTCCATTATGAACCTGTAGTGGGCCAGGGGTTAAACAGGATTGAGAAACAGTGAATTAGAATGTCACCTTTTAGACAGAACCTGTGCTTAACTTAGCTTTGTGGTATTCTAGAAAAAACTCTGGTTTTACAATCAGAGCACCAGGATTTGAATCCCACTTTACTTTAAAACTTGTTCAGTGAGCCTTAACTTAATTATTCTATCAGATCCTCTTTCATCAATCATTAAATTGGGATAAAAATAATGACTTCAAATCATTAATATGTGGATTCTCTTTCTCTCTCTCTCTCTCCCCCCCCCCCCAAAAAAAAACCATGGGAAAATATGTAGCACATTGCTGGTATATAGTGGTTTTTAGCCACCATATCTTTATCTTACATAGATAATGTAATGCTATGCAGTTAATAGATATTCAAACACTTGCTGAATGAATCAATACACGAATGACTGAGAACCTTTGAAAAAAAGTTTTTTTAATGTTACAGTGTTCAGCTTAATTGTGCCTAGAAACTGGTGGTGAAAGGAACCTTTTTCCTGGTCATCTCTACACGTTTGAGTAAAAGAACAGTGTTAAAACTTTACCTTTTCTCAGGTTATATGTCTTAAAGATGGTGAGCTGACTATGCCAGATTTGTTTTTACTTTAATCATTTAATTTCCATTTTAATTCAGTTTAATTTTAGATGAGCCTGGTGACATGTAGCCGCTGGTTCTCCGAGTACCCTTAGTTCCCCTGTTGTAGCAGGGTGCGTAGTGACCCCTTGGCCTTCTCCTGTGACTAATCTCCCATCTAGACAAAAGTATTTCTCATAATTCAGAGCATAGTCTGGAAGAATATTCACAGTTTACAAAAGAAAATTTGTCTTATAATTTAAAAAAGGACATTCAAACATAATAAAATATGAAAAAGGCATAGCTTAACCATGGAATTTGGAGTATTAAAACTATTCTGAAGGTAAATACAGTATTAGAGTAACCTATACTAATTTGATTTAAATAAAAAAATATTGAAAAGAATTAGAATTATTTAAATGAGCATACCATTTATAGTTTTGTAAAATGCTTAAAAAGGACATTCAACTGTAATTTGGATTACACTACTATTTTACATAGTGAAACATTGATTAGAACAAAACTATCAAGTAAACCTCAGAACAAATCTGTATAATAGAATCTGAATTACAGAGACTCAAATTTATTGTAGGTACACTTTTAAAGACTTGATTGAAATTGATGCCACTTAGCAAAAAGAAAGAACATAAAACATCAAACTTACTCCTTTGTTGAAGGTGGCTGAATCTCACAGCTCTGTGCTCCATCAAGGCATGGCCTTGATGCTTAGTGTTCATTGTTAGGGTTTCACTGGAGGTGTTCAATGAATATCTGTGGAATTTAAGAAGGTTAAACTTATAACCTATAATATGTTATAATTCAGAAGTTAGAAGCTAAAATCTAGGAAAATCTAAGCTTCTTTTTAATATAAGCTCTAATCATTCAAAAGCTATTTGTGGTATGTTCTGGAAAGGTGAATTTGTTGACTTTATTTTTCAGGGAACTCATTTGGACATAATAAGTAAACAAATTGCAGAGCATATTAGGTGGTGATAAGTTCTGTTTAAAAAAAAGAAAAGAGAAGAAAGGGTGGGAAATTTTAAATAGTGTGGTCAAGAGAGGCCTCGTTGTGCAGGTTACTTTTAAACAGTATTGAGGGCCGTTGGACTAGAAAACCCAGGAATGAGAGTAATTATAGAATTAGAAATTTAAAATTTAATTTATCTCTTTTGTTACATATGTTACTTCTCAGCAGGAGGATGCAGATGAGGGTAAAGTCAGCTTTTGCTTTTTTTTGTCTTTCCATTAGCTTAAAAAAGGAATGGTAGTTCTGCTCTATTTTCTTTTTTCCACTTAGCTTAGACACATGTGTTTCATGGGATTTTTGTCCAATAATAAGAACGAGGTTTACTTTGAGAATTTCTTCATGACAGCCCAAAGCAACATGTAGCATCATTCCGTAGAATTCATTGTGTTTTAGAAACATAACAATTCACGTATTGCCAGTTGTAGAGGATTCTTAGTCATCTCAGTTTGAGCAACAAATCAACTTATTGTCCCTTTGAGTCATTGAATTATATATTCAGATAAGAAAACAGTTCATTTTCTTAATATTCTTGATTGATTTTATCCTGATTTCAAAATAAATGCATTTGTTTCTTACAGATTGTGTTTCTGGCATCTGCATATGCGAGTCCCCAGCTCACTGATGAGAGCTGTTCGGCCGTGGCTGCTGTCACACACTACCTGTATCTTTGCCAGTTTAGCTGGATGCTCATTCAGGTTGGCACCTCATTTCTTCACCCCATTCCCACCCTGACCCTTTCAGCTTTCTCATGAATCTGGGTGGAGTGATCTTCTTCTTCGATAGTCTTTATACCAAAGTGGAAATAATTGCATCACTGCATTCTCAGGAGATTAATGCAAGAAAAACCTTATAAGCTATACAGCATTAGAGAGCAGAGTAAATTTGAGGAAATGAAAAAGAACTGTATTAAGATTGAATATAAAGGTGTAGTAGGAAATGAGGCTTGTGATGCAGGCCAGCCTGTAAGGCACAGGAAGAAATTTGAGGTTTTTTGCAAGGGAAATCATAGAATTATTTTAAGCAAGGGAGCAACATGATAAGCTTTGGATTTTAGTAGGAACTCCTTGTGTGTGGTGAATTGGGAACAGGAAACAGCTGACATGAAGGCAAATTAAGTAGCATTAGATATAGATGTATCGAGGGAAGAGGACTTGGCGGTATGAACCAGGGAGGTCACAGAAAAAACAAAGGGAAGTGATCACCTTTTGCGGCTGTTTTGTTTTGTTTTGTTTTGCTTTGCTTTTTTAAAGTAGAACTATGGGAGGTAGAGATTGGTTGTGAAGCCTGAAGAAGGTGGAATGAAGGATATTTCCCAGGTTAGAGTGGATGGGGAAATGATGGTGCTTTAAATTGAAATGATAATCACTGGAGATTAGAGGAAGATGATGAGTTGTTTTTTGTTGGTTGTGTTTTTTTTTTTTTTTTTTTTTTGAGCTCTCCAGAGGGAACTTTGAGAGAAGTAGGATAGAGAGGGCTAAATATCTCAGAACAGAGGCCCATGCTATGGAAATATATTAGCAAATTGTTGACTTAGTTTTGAAAAATGGAGCCATTGTTTTGGAAGCAATCACTTTGGGAGAGAGTATAGAGTGAGACTCTAGGGGGCCTCAGCTCACTCTCCTGAGGAACTACTAAATGTTTGGGAGACATTTGAACTTTCCTTTTCTGACTAAAATCCCAAATTCTGTCTATTGCCCTATGCTGATTTGCTTGATAAAGAGACTAATGTGAGAATTGGATCCACATCAGTAGGATTAATGTCACTGATGGATCAGCTAAAATGCTGACTTTAATAATGATTTGTGCATAATGGTATTGTTAAATATTTCATGTGATAGCAATAGTTCTATATGTGTTTCTGAGTAGGCATGAGAACTATTTTATGTAAACAGATGTGTTCAGGTACTTGCATATTCTTTTTTCTTGTTGAATAAGAAGGATGTGGAATTTCCACCATACAGCATTATTGAAATATTCACATCATAGGGATGCTGGGAGAAGAGAAATGGCAAAAAATTGAAAACTTATTTGAAAAAATAATGAAAGTAAGTTTCCTTAATTTGATGAAAGAAATAAACATACAAGTCCAGGAAGCAAAGAGTCCCAAACGAGATGTATGTCAAGACACATCATAATTAAAACTCCAAAGGTTAAAAATAAAGAATCTTAAAAGCAGCAAGAAAAAACCAGAAAGTTACCTACCAATGATTTCCTATAAGACTGTTTGCTGATTTCTCAAAAGAAACTTTGTAGGCTAGAAGGGACTGGCAAGAAATATTCGAAGTCATGAAAAGCAAGGACCTACAACCTAGATTACTCTATCCAGCAAAGCTATCATTTAGAATCAAAGGGCAGATCAAGTGCTTCCCAGACAAGATAAAGCTAAAGGAGTTCCTCATCACCAAGCCACTATTATATGAAATATTAAAGGGATTTATATATGTAAAGGAAGATCAAAACTATGAACATTAAAATGGCCATAAATTCACAGCTATCAACAATTTAATCTAAAAAACAAACTAAGCAAACAAGTAGAACAGGAACAAAATCATAGATATGGAGATATTTGGATGTTTACCAGTTGGGAGAGTAAGGGAGAGAATGGGGGAAAAGGTGCAGGGATTAAGAAGTACAAATTGGTAGTTACAGAATAGGCAAGTGTTGGTTAAGAACAATACAGGAAATGGAGTAGCCAAAGAATTTATATGCATGACCCATAGACATGAACTAAGGAGGAAGATTGCCAGAGGTAATTGGTGGTACTGGGTGGAGGGGGCAAAGGGGGAAAATTGGGAAAATTGTAATAGCATAATCAATAAAATATTTTGTTAGAAAAGAAAGGCTTTGCCAATGTCTAAACTCAAAAAAAAATAAGAAAGAAAGAAGGGAGGAAGGAAGGGAGGAAAGGAAAAGAAGGAAGGGAGGAAACAGGAGAGTAGAGAAAGAAAGAGATAGATGGTATTACTATGAGAGAATAACAGACAAACTCAAGGAAGGGGTATTTTCCCAGGCACGATATAGTTGCGGGTATTGAAGAAGGAAATAACTGAACTATTTAGGTAATAGAACTAATTTGAACAATTGGAACCCTACATCTGGATTTGAAATCTGGCTCAGCCACTATTTTGGCAATCTTAATCTAGTTACTGACTCGATTTACTTGATTGACTTGACTAACAAAACTATCTAAGTTTTGGTTCTAAATCTGCATATGGGGATAACTCCTATTGTATAGAACTTTTGTTTTGTGACTTTTTAAGCAGCTCTAATTATGGAAAGTTGTGGTGCCTCTAAATTTCTCTAACAATTAAAAATAATTCTAAATCATATAACATAAAACTTAAATATCTGCTGAAATTAAAATACCCTGTGCTAGATTCTGTGTTTGCAGAATTTTTTAGTAGTTTAAATGGAACTTTTAAATTTGTGTCCTGTGTTTGTTGTTATTTATCTGCCTGGACTGAAGTCCCCAGTGGTTTGCTGAAAGTCTTCATCCATGTCCCTGACCTATTCAAGTTTTTCATGAGTGATTTGGATGAAAACAAAGGAAACTGCCTTATCAGGTAGGCGATGATAAGAGCCAAAAAGCTGAAAGAGCGAGCTGCCTGCATTAGGAGTACAGGTAGAACCAATACGGAGAAACTGTACTGTGACAGATCGAAAACCAGAGTAGAAGAGCCATAATCTGATGGGGGGATTACTGTAAACAATTTGAAATTTTAATTTAACATAAAATTTCAAGCAAATGTGTGACTGGATTGCTTAAAACACAGCAACTGCAGTTAACTACAAACAGCACAGGCCAAAGTTACCTTAATAACAGTGTGGAGGAAGCTCGGGGAGCAGTGGTTGCGTTGTAATCTACAGTGTTCAGATTATGTTGGGAACCGTAATGCTTTCATGAATCATGTTTCAACAGGAACATTAACCAGCCAGCAGGAAGTCAGGAAAGAATCCTATAAGGAATTTTGAGGCAGCTGGAGATAACTAACCTGGGAAAAACTTAAGGCGATGTGATGGCTGTCTACAAATACAAAGTACATTTGGAAGAACCAGAGCAAATGGGTCAAAAATTAGGGAAGCAAAATTGATTCATGTTAAGAACTTTTATAGCCAATGAAACTGTCAAAGTTAAAGAGGCTGTTTTTAAAAGTAGTGGGCATCCAATCACTGAAATACATTCAGAGGGGGAAACGCCCAATTTTTCAAACATGGATTTAGATGGATTTCCTGCTTTGGGGGAAGAGTTAGAATGGCATATAAAATTTCACCCTACTTAATAGAGATCTGATGTATTCTGTATCTCTTCTTCAAGTCTTAAGTAAATAGGATTGTGGCTGATGCACATTTAGTAAACTAATTAGCTTTCAGTATGCCTAATGGTTTAGGAAAACTATTTAAAGTACCAGTGAAGTTCAGCGTATTTCAGATGGTACACCACATATTTTTCATGGTTTGTGGTGTGACCACAGAGGAAAATTCAGTAACTTCTGATTCTAGGTAGGTTACTTCTAAAGAGTTGCTTTGTGGTTGGAGGTTGTTACTTTACCAGCCTGTTTTCCCATTTATAAAGTAATCTGGCTGAAATCTTTTCTTAAAACTAGAATTCATTTTCAATACATCATGTAAAAGATTAGACTACTGTTAATCCAAACCTGTTAGTCAAAAAGGGTTGAAAAACATTGAGATAATATTTTATTGAGTCTAGTTCATATTTTAAGCAGTATAGGAGAGAATTTGATATATATTATGTGGATGTGTAGCTTACAATGGCAAAAGTTAAACATTAACTTTTAATTATTGGGCTAAGCACATTAGAATTATTTTGATCTGCATTGTATATTCAATCTTAGAATAAATGCATTTAAGGCCTTTATCATGAATAATTATTTTACTTTTATATCACATACTTTTAATACAGTATAGTAAAATTAGATTATGTTTTAAAGAAAAATTTTATTGGTAAACAAGTTATGTAACTTCTCCTAGCCTAGATTTCCTTATCTGAATAATTAAGGTTTGTAACAGCAGTACCTCTCTGAGAATTATCGAAAGATAAAATGAATTAATACATGGAAAAAGCTTGGAATGTTCTTGGCACACTGCACACTCCATGCATATTTAACCATATTGTTAGCTAAGCAAATATATGTGGCTGATACTTCATAGATTTTGACACATGTTCAATACTCTGCATTTCCAGTGTAATATATATTTTCCTTTAACAAAAGAGAATTAGCTTGATACAGTGGAAAGCGTTAAAGCGAGGTAGACACTAAGTAGGGGCAGTCTTAGCAAGCTGTCTAACCTCTAACCCCTTCACTAAATAAGTACACACATGGCTGATCGCAGGCTCCATGACTGGTGGCCTGACTCTGTTTCTTTAGGCCCCGCTTTATTTGACACGGAAGTCATACTGTGCCTGACTGGAATAGAGAAACAGATTATTTTGCTTATTTTTTTAAAGCAAACAACTCAGTTTCCCTTTTAGACCATGGAAATTGAGGTATCCTCATGTTTGCTCTTCATGTAAGATTACTCTGTGGGATTACTGAAATAATTTCCCACCTCCTTACAGCAGCAGGGTCATATCTACTCTAGGAAAGATTGGCAGTGAGAATTTAAACTGTTGTTATTTTTTACTAATTTATTTTCCTAGTGTTTTATTTCCATTTCCTTTTTGTTTTGATTTGCT